TCGGGAGATTACTAGATATAGTGTAGTCTTGTATATATAAGACTGGCCACGAAGCGACGGGAAAACAGTGTAATGAGTAATTGAACTGCAGTCAGAGAGAATATTGTTAAGCACGTGAGAACTTCGTTGAGAATTATAGCGCGACTGTTGAAATTAAGTGTATTGTAAAGTTGTATTCGGAAAGAATAAACCAGTTTTATTTAAGAAAGGACTTGTGTCGCTAAAGTTTCGTCAGAACGAATTTACTTGACGGAAAATCAACTAACGACTGGAGGCGTAACAATATTGTTGCCACGTTTCTAGAACTATCCTGTTCCTTCGGGAGTGCTCTAGCAGTTGCTAGATTGGGGTGGTCTAGTATATATAAGATGGTCACGGCGTGACGTGACAATGTGTGTGTAGGTAATGAGTAATTGAACTGCAGTCAGAGAGAGACGTATTGTTGAAGTCGAGCTCGTGAGACGTGAATTATAGTTTGTTATAGCGCGACTGTTGAAGTTGAGTGTATCGTAAAGTTGTATTCGGAAAGAATAAACCAGTTTTATTTAAGAAAGGACTTGTGTCGCTAAAGTTTCGTCGGAACGAAGTTACGGAAAATTAATTAACAAACGGAGACGGAACAAATTGGTGTCAGAGAGTGGGACAAAAAAAATGGAAACGAGAAGCGGCAAATCAAACTACAGCATAGCAGACTTGATGGTAGCAATACAAGAACAGCAAAAGAAACAAGAAGAACGAGAAAATAAACAAGAAAAGAAACAAGAAGAGAGACAACAGCAGCTGCAATAAAACCTGCAACAGTGGCAGCTCGAACAACAAAATAAACAAGAAGAGAGATTACAGCAGTTGTTAGAGGAAAAAGAAAAGAAACAAGAAGAACGAGAAAAGAAACAAGAAGAGAGATTACAGCAGTTGTTAGAGGAAAAAGAAAAGAAACAAGAAGAACGAGAAAAGAAACAAGAAGAGAGATTACAGCAGTTGTTAGAGGAAAAAGAAAAGAAACAAGAAGAACGAGAAAAGAAACAAGAAGAGAGATTACAGCAGTTGTTAGAGGAAAAAGAAAAGAAACAAGAAGA